TCTCGTCCAGTAATTTCCTCGGCGAGGGCGGGTTCGGCCAGGTCCACAAGGGTTTCGTCGACGATAAGCTCCGCCCCGGTTTGAAGGCCCAGCCGGTGGCCATTAAGCGTCTTGACACCGATAAATGTACCGATCAAGGCCACAGAGAATGGCTGGTAAGTTCTCCAGATTTCAATCAATTATATTCCTAATTGATACCGATCAGCTCTATAGAATTATTTATATTGTTTCTAATTGATATCTATCAGCACTATAGAATTTTGTGTAAAATTTATATTGTTTATTTGTTTTGCAGACGGAAGTGGTATGTCTTGGACAATTGAGGCATCCGCACGTCGTGAAGCTGATCGGGTACTGCTGTGAAGAAGATCAGCGGCTTTTAGTGTATGAATACATGCCCAGAGGCAGCCTGGAGAATCAGCTCTTCAGAAGTATGTTATTCAATTCCTTTAATTAAACATCCATAGTTTTCACATATGATTTCTGTAGTTTCAGAATAGCAAAAACTTGTGTGAGACTGTCTCATAGATATTTGTCTATAAGACAAGTCGGGTCAAGATGAAATGTGAGATTTAGTATTAGATTTACATATTGACTTGACCCATCTCATAAATAAAGATTTGTGAGACAGTCTCACACTAATGTGATCCACAATTTATAAGGTTATAAGTTATATTTTTAGTAGAGACAGTTTATCAATTTTCTTAGATTGAATCAGTTAGATGGATTTACTCGGTGCACATTTTTAATAGTAATTACAATTTTTACTATAAAAAAAATAAAGAATTAAGTTCAACTAGGCTGCTGTCAACATTCTGGCTGATAGGTAGCTGTAACCCACTTTGAAGTTTAGAGCAACTTGCCAATATTTAATCCCAGTAAAAAAAAAACACTAAAATTCTTTTGAAAAAGTCAAGTTTTATCTAATTTTTGTCACAGCTGACCTTACCATATGCCAGTCTGCCTAGGTTTTTAAAATGATAATAGCAGGAATTCTAGGCTACCTTTACTTCATTAATTCTTTATTTTTTTCCTCGAGTTGGTAAGTAAATGTATTATCTATTTCTTGACTTATATAGGAATTTCAGCCTCGCTTCCGTGGGCGACACGAATGAAGATTGCAATGGGAGCTGCCAAGGGTCTGGCTTTCCTGCATGGAGCTGAAAAACCAATCATATTTCGCGATTTCAAAGCTTCAAACATCTTGCTAGACTCTGTAAGTCTCATATTAATCACTCTCTAATATCCTTTTTAAAAAATTCATATGTTTAATGTAAATTATTAGAACATTATCTGAATCTCCATGGTTTTCAATTTCCAGGATTATCGTGCCAAACTGTCAGATTTCGGGTTGGCCAAGGACGGGCCAGAAGGCGATGACACGCACGTCTCCACAAGAGTGATGGGCACGCAAGGCTACGCCGCCCCGGAATACATCATGACGGGGCATTTGACGGCGGCGAGCGACGTGTACAGCTTCGGGGTGGTGTTGCTGGAGCTGCTCACCGGCCGGAAGTCCATAGACAAGACCCGCCCGCCGAGAGAACAGAACTTGGTGGACTGGGCCAGGCCGCAGCTAAAAGATCCCCGGAAGCTTTACCGGATAATGGACCCCAGGCTCGACGGCATGTACTCGGAAGACGGCGCCCGGAAGGCGGCGCTCCTGTCGTACAAATGCCTGAGCCAAAGGTCCAACGCTAGGCCGACCATGAGCGAAGTGGTTAAGGTTTTGGAACCTTTGAAGGACTACAAGGAGGTCCCAATGGTGACATTCTTGTACGTAGCTCCCACCGAGAAAGAAAAAGAGGAGGTGAAGAAACAACAAAATGGAAATCACCACCACCACCAACACCGCCATCACGAACATAATCACCACCATCAACACAATCAGCACCACCACCACCAGCACCAGCACCAGCACGATCAGCACCGCCACCACGAACATAAACATGGTAAGGCGAGGGGTGCCAAGTCGACCACAGTTTACTCAGAAACAGTTGTGCAACAGAAGCTGAGATCAAATGAGTCCCCAATTCATCATCCTGGAATGAAGAGAGGATAGAGTGAAATTATTAGTGAAAACGGAACTGTATATACAAATGTGTGTTTATAATTACTTGAAAATTGAAATTTTGTCTGCTTTTGCCATAGTTTTAGGATTAGCACGTACAGGCTATGTAGCTAGCTTGGAGCAAAAATGCTCATAATATCTTGCTTCTTTTAATGTTTTATTAAATTAATTCCATGTTTCATATGAATCTCTTTTAATGTTGAAATTAAATGCCAGCGATACATCCAACTGTACTTACCAAAGTGGAGTATATTAATACTTCTATGTGCATTTTCAACCAACATTTATAAATAGTTGAGTACAGTACTAGCTAGTACAAGATATTCATAGGCCTGGGGGTGGCAGGTTTGATCTAACACGAAGAATCATAGTAAATGTAGTTGGAGTTAGGAACCAATTAAAATTGCATTACAAATAATTGAGATATTAAATTTAGGAGAAATCACTATTTTGGTCCTTCAATTGTTTTTGAACTGTCAATGTAGTCCATACTTTTCAATTTCAACTAATTTGATCTTCGAATAGTTTAAAATTTCGTCAATTAAACCTTAGGATCAAATTGACGAAATTGTAAAAATGAAGAAATCACAATTTTGGTCACTCGGAAGGGTTTAATTGACAAAATTTTAAACAATTTGAGGATCGAATTAGTTGAAATTGAAAACTAAGGACTACATTTACAGTTGAGAAAATAATTGATGGATCAAAATGGTAGTTTTTCCTTAAATTTACTAAACAGTTACAGATTTACAATTTAACGACTAAACGTTGGGAGAAGAATTGTATACGATAAGTAGCTTAATTGTAGCCTTGTAGGGATAATCCTAACCAAGTTTTTCATGTTACGTTGTTAGTTTGGTAAGTTTCAAATTTGACCCTCCGGCCTATTTATTTCTTGGTTTGAACTAATTAGCTATAAAATAAAAATTAAAATAATTTATCTCATTATAATCCTTTGTTGATCAATGTCACAATACAAGGTTTACTCAATACCATCATATAATAACCTAGGGTTCCCTTGTTATCCAAAAATGAGCTGAATTGCAAATTGAGGGAGGGAAATGAAAGAAAGGGTCAAGATAGGCAGACTGTCATATACCACTAGCTACCTAATGCAGTGCAATATTGGGAAATCTGATCTGGGTTGTCAAATAACACAGCTAAGCAAATATTGGATTCACAAATATATGGTTGAAACTTGACCTATTCCAACATCTAAGGATTTCGTATTTCATTATATATATTTTACTCCGTACTTATTTTGAAGAGGAGACATTCATGTTGTCAGCTGTCATATCCCGATTCCCGAGATACCATCAAATCGCTGGTTTTCCAAATATGCGTTTTCCCATTCATAGGGTGAAGTCAAAACCATCCACAAACAAACAAATTCAATAGCACAAATAATTAAGAATGTGACTTCTCAATGTGTATAATGTTCCAAGACTTGTTAATTATATTGGACCAGTGATTTTAGAGCATTCATATTAGTACTAGTTTTTTTGGTAGTTTTTGTCATTTTATATAGGAAGAGAGTGAGAAAGAGAGAGGAAGTAAAAGGAAAAAAAAAAAAAAGCAAAAAATAAATACACGCTAACAATGTTCAAAGAAAAAAAAAATAAACAATGCATATTCACATGCCTAGCGGCACGTGCATTGCATGCACCAGCTAGCGTAACAAGTTCCGAAACACACACCTGTCATGTTTGTTTCAAGTTTTGTGATGTCAGTGTGGGGGCCCTAAAATGCTTAATTTGCAGGAGGTAAAAATTTCAAAAAAAAAAAAAATCACTACTCCCACTAGTTAAAAATCAAGAGTTGATTTTTTTATTCTTTAAAATTTGAGCAAAAACCACCGATGTGATTACTCTTTGGTTTATTATTACCGCGCCATACATTTGTTTAGAAGTAGGTGTAAAAGTCTTATCTATTGGATTGATATATTGGAAGCTGCATCGGTTCTCATTTCTCAAAATGTTAAATTCTACATTTCTACCTCAACCCTAAGAGCTTCTCATGTCTCGACGTGATAGAGCATGTGAAAAAATGTAAATTACAGTAATTCAATGGCTTAGTAGGGCCAAATGCGGTGTTACCGTATCAATCACTTAGCAAGGCCAAATGCAGTGTAAATTACGGTAACTCAATGACTTAGCATGGCCAAATGCTAGTGCGCACAAGGGATTTGCCCACTCTGGGCATAATCCCTACACTGCTGCTACCGATATTTTGAACTTTGACCTCTTCTCTCAAATACTACCTATTGAACCAGTGAGTTAAGCAACATCAGTTCTCAATCCTAGGGTTGGCCACAACATAAGAAGCGAAAGCCGCCAGGATGCTTGGTTCAAGGATCGGCATGGGATCTCAGGGTCAACCTCTACGGTCAACCTTCAGAGTCAGCGGGAGTTACATTTCAATGAAGATGGAGTCTTGCAGGGGCGCAATGCCCTATTCACGTGTGTATAAAATGAAATTGAATTGCAAGTCTTACATATTGATTGTAAATTGTCAAATGAAATTATAAATAAATAAGAATGATACTTTAGTGTTTAGAATGAAACTAAGCACAGAGTCTCACATATTAAGTGTGTATTATCAAATGAAAATGTAATTGAATTAAAATAATACTTTAGTTATGTTGTAATGAAACTACAGTATATATAAAATAAACTGACTAACAAGTATCACGTATTGAGTGTACATTGTCAAATGAAGCTGTACTTGAATTAAAATAATAATTTAATTATGTTGTAATGAAACTACAGTATATATAAAATGTAACGGAGTAGCATGTATCACATTTTGAGTATACATTGTCAAATGAATTTGTATTTGAATTAAAAAGATATTTTAATTATGTTGTAATGAAACTACAATGTATACAAAATGAAACTGAAAGATTATCATCAACTACAACAACAAAAACTCCAATCTAAAAAATACAATCACAAACCCTAGGAACAATACAATAAACGAATCAAATGAACTGTGATCAATAACAACTAGCGCTGCATCAATCACGTCAATCGCAGAAACTCTGATTGCTTCTATTTGTTGTTTGATCCATGGTTGAGTAGAAAATCGCAAAATGAATATGGGAGACTATGAGAAGAACAAGGATGAGAGAAATCGAGCAAAAGATCGCAATCACAACGTTACCAGAATTCACCGTCCGCCATTATTAACAGAATCCGTTTTTTTATTTTCTTCCCCGGTCCACAGTGCTACGTGGACCATGATCCAGACTAAAATTTTCCCTTTCTTTTTCTCCCAAGCACAGAAGCTTTCTGCAGTCTAGGTCCACCCATCCGCCATTTCTTGAAAGCCATTGTTGAGGATTGCCCAGCCTCGTACACTTCACATTAACAATAAGAAATGAGTTCTGTAAATATTTGTAGCACCCACGAAAGGATAGTGAAGAATGAGAGGTTCTAAAAAGCTTACATTTCATCTCTTCTCCTGTGTTAGAAGTGTTAAGTGTTTGGAAGCCACTGCAGATGCAGCAGTGTATGCCTTGATCAACACTTCTTTGTATCTGGTCCGAAATGCAACCAACAGAAATTAAAAGGCCCTATTGTTTTGTCACCGGTTCTATACAAACAAATGTATTAGGCAATACACTATCAGATATTAAAGCAATTTCAGTAGAGCAAAGAAAAAGAAGCAGTCCTATTAAACTAAAAAGAAGAAATCATACTCTGAGTCCTGTTGATGTAATTGTGTATATACATATGAATCAGATTCATCAACGTATCGAACACCAACAGTCACTTTTAATGGGCAAAGTTGTAGCGCCTTACTCTTTACAAAGACATTTCCGGCCACATGTACCATAATCTTAATTCTACAATCATTATCAGTATAATCAGTATAAAAGTATAAAACACCACAAAGTGAGAGCATTCAGACTTTACTTGGTGTCAAAGCATGACGGAACTTTAATCTTCACTGCTAGTTTCACATATAGCTCATGGGCAAGCCAAAACGGCATTTCTACTTCCATACCAGCTCCCACCTGAAAGTTTAGGGTGTTTAGTTTGCCAAAATTTCCCTTTTTTCCACCTCCAATATTTCATTTCCTACTGAACACGCCCAACTTTCTATTACTATCTCTTGTTTCCAATTCAAACCCCCTCACATTTTTAAAAAAAAAAAAAAAAAGGGGGGGGGGGGGGATAAAATCCCCTTTGCTGAATTTTTCAGCAGTGATTGAAACTTCACCTTATTCATATCATCACAGCAATCAAATATCCCAACTGCATTGGCAGTTTTCTGGAATACAGCTGAAATAAAGAAATGAAACCAAGGCAAACAATAATCAAATTAATATAATTAATTTAGCGAGCAAAAAGGAAAAAGGTTTGTTCTTCTGTAATTAAAAAAAAAAAAAAAGGGGATAATCTGACCTCTTCTTCAGCTAAAATATCATCAATGTCATAATAATTTGCCATCGTATAATAAAAACAAGTTTGAGATCAGCCTCACTATTCTTTTTAGAACAGTACTTGATCAAATTATTGTACTCTGTGATAAATTCAGCCCTCTGCACATTCAACCACAACGCATAAAAATAGTCACGAAATCAAAATTAAATATTAGTATAACATAATGATTATCACATATAGTGGATGCAACCCTTGCACAATTAATGCATACAAGTATACCACACTGCACATATAGTGGGTGCAAGATGCCTTCTGACTAGGTTCAGGTTTTTCGGTTTCGGTTTTTAAAAAAGGAATAAGGGTCAAATAGGCCACTCAACTGCACACCAAAGTGCAATTAGGCTATTGAACTAAAAAGAATGCAATTGAGCCATTAAACAACACAAAAACATGCAATTTAACCCAAAATGACCTGTTTACATGATGTAGCAAGTTACCGATTTTAAATTTTTTTTTTTTTTAAATTATTTTTAATAAATAAATAATTTAAAAAAAAAATTCTTCAAAAAAAGAAAAAAAAAAATAAACTGCCGCGGGAGACGATTCGTCTCCGGCGGCAGTTTCTGTTTATTTTTTTTTTTAAGAATTTTTTTAAAATTATTTTTAAAAAATAATTTTAAAATCGGAAACTTGCTACATCAGGTAAACAAGTCATTTTGGGCTAAATTGCATGTTTTTTTGTTGTTCAATGGCTCAATTGCATTCTTTTTTAGTTCAATGGCCTAATTGCACTTTGCTGTGCTTTTTTAGTTCAATGGCCTAATTGCACTTTGGTGTGCAGTTGAGTGGCCTATTTGACCCTTATTCCTTTAAAAAATAATACCAATCAGTTTAACATCATAGTTCGGTTTAGTTTCGTTTCGATTTGAAAAAAGTTCGGTTTAAGAACCCCAATTTTCAACATTTTCTAATTTTTCAAGCACACTACAGAACAATACATATTCACTGATGGCAATTCCTGGACCTATTATATAATGAGGCAGTGTAATTGTACAGGCAGTGTTATTATTATTTAAAAAAAAAAAAAAAAAAAAAAAAAAAAAAAAAAGATGAGGCAATGTAATTGTACAGGCACAGCTGAAGATAGAAGCCTAAAACTCCTAGCAAGAGTAATTGTAGTATTGTACAGGCACAGCCGCACAGGGGATACATATTCAATATTTGTAATAAACAAAGAGTAATTGCAATATAGAAAATGGCAAAATGCACAGGCACAGCCGCACAAGCCAAATTTGGACATGAAGACATGAACTCATTATGAGCACATAGCTAGGACAGGCCCGTTTTCCCTATTTACTCTCAGTCCAAGCCCAACTCCTGATATTTCTTCTTCAGTTTCAGACTTTCAGTACAGAAATCTCAGCGTCAATTTCTCTGGTCTCCCCCGGAGCAATCCAAGTCCTCGCTTTGATCCAATGGCAACTCTGGACACTGACGTCACCATGGTTCCGGCCGGGGAGGGCTCTAGCGCCGACGAACCTTCGACTTCCTCCTCAACGAAGAAAGGCAAGAAATTCGAGATCAAAAAGTGGAACGCCGTTTCTCTCTGGGCTTGGGGTATCTATCTAAACCTAACTCACTCTATGTAGACATTATGATAGCTGTGATAACGCTTAAGGTGCTCTGTGATTTTTTGCAATTTTTCTTTGATGATGCCAATGGAGATTTGTGTATGTGATTTTGCTGATTTTTTTCCATTGCGATTACCTATATACTTAATTTGCGCTTAAATCTGCATGAGATATTTGAGTTGTTAAATTGAATTGCTTATATGTTAGGATTAACAGTTGTGTCGTGTTAATATTGGCCACTGCCCAGGTGTTAAAGTGTTGTAGTCCCCCAAGTTTACACGGTCTCATATTCACCCACTCGAATTACAAACTGAAACTCTTATTCTCTCACAATATTTAGAGAGATGAGAGAGCGGGGAGGAGCCTTCTTTATACAATGACTGTGTAACAGTTTTTGAGGAAAATTTAAATTAATAATAATCAATCTGAGGAAATTTAGATTAATAATAACCCCTAAGAACTAAGGCCATAACATGGGAGGAGGGTGACTAATTCTGACTTCTCCCGCAAATGCTAAGAATATAGCTAGTACTTAAGCTTCAAACCTTGACACTGCTCAGAATTAGTTATATTCTTTGCATATGATGGATATTGTCGGACGATTGTGAAGTTTAATTGGTCAGCATTACCCCAATTCCTCCTCCCATGTTGTGGCCTTTGTTTTTTTAGGAAATATTATAATAATTTGTGAGGTTATTATTAATCTGGATTTCCTCAAAAGTTATTACGAGACTACGGATAAAGAGTTAATTGTGTAAACCTCAGCGGAAAACACTGCTTTAATACCTTTACTGGTAGTTGTGAAATCGTTTCTAAAGCAGTGGCTTTATTACTGCAACACAACTATTATTGTTGTTAATTTTATAATATTCGCTGTCAATTTTTCCAACACCCTAGAAGTTTCAATGCTGATTGCGTAGCACTCTGTGCCAGTGGTAGATGTTATTTGCTGGATTACATATGTATCTGTACACGTCTGATTCTTGAAGCTGATTTAACACAATGAAAAACCTGATGCCGCTTGTATTTTGCTAATTCATGGCACTCTTAATCACTAGTGCAGTGCTTTGGTATTTATCTGTGTTGGAATACATATGCACTTGTGAACTTCATAGATGGAAGTGAGAATTTAAAGAGGTTCCTGTCAAGTATTGAATGATTTTTATTCTTTCTACATTGGTTTTGCTTTGCTTCTGGGGGTGGCATTGAGCAAATAAGGTTTATCGTTTTTTGCTTGATGTATATGGATGGAGCATCCTTTGAACATGAACTAATGAGGTTTCGCTTATTATTAGAGGACTAAGAAAGGAGACTAAATGCATTTAATTACTCTTAGCATCCTTTTTGGTATTCAATATGTTGTATTTTCTACAATTTTTGTTGATCGTAATGCTTTGAAGAAAAAAGACCTTATTCTACCTCTAAATATGTGTAGTTGCCCTCACATTGCGTAACTTGCCATGTTTATCATATAAGAAAGTTCCTTGAGTTCTGTTCTTTTGGTGGTTTGAGGCAGTTGACTTTTTGGTTGTAGATATCGTGGTGGACAACTGTGCTATTTGTAGGAACCATATCATGGATCTATGTAAGTCTTTGCTCTACTTCCCACTGACATGACAAGTTTGTTTTAGTTTAATGTACTGTCATAATCTATCCATTTCATACCTCTCTGGTTATCTAATTAGGTATTGAGTGTCAAGCCAATCAAGCTAGTGCCACAAGTGAGGAGTGTACTGTTGCTTGGGGTATGTAGCTTCTTCAAACTTGTATTTAAATACATTGCCCTTCCTTTCGATGTTTTTATTTCATTATCTCTATAGTTTTATGGTTATTGGTTTTGCAAAAGCTATTCTGTATAGGGAATAGGGTAGCTGGGTTGTCTGTAAGGTTTCTGATACTCTTGTTTCTGTTTAAATAAGATGGAGTACTACGCATTTTTGTTGATTAGAGGAACTTAATGCTAGTAGTTGTATCTATTAGTATTGCATTTAAGAGTTTTGAGTTAACCACATGTTTCTAGAATGTGATGGGGAATTTCCTGTCACTTAATATGCTGCCTTTATAAACAATCGGAAAATGCTATGTGTAATCCCATTTTCTACTCCCAACTTTTACTCCCACACACAAACCTTGATGTACACACTTGTATTGGGATCCACATGGAAAAAAATAGCTTATCAGAATCTGCCACATCATGGAGTAAAATTGAGGGAGTTAGATTTGGGACTACATGTAGTAGAACTCTAAACAATCTTCATCCCTGAATTTCTTTTGTTAGAATGTGCCTGTACTATCTAAAAATCAGTTTTGCAAAGCATTGAAAGGTTGAGATGAAACGAAAAATACCAGCTAAACTGAATGTTCTGAACACATCTAATTTACCTACAAATACTACTTTAGATAATCATGGAATATGAAGTATTTGCTTTTGTAAGGCTAAGGTTGCTGTTTGCAGGTGTTTGCAACCACGCATTCCACTTCCACTGCATTAGCCGATGGCTCAAGACTCGTCAAGTGTGCCCATTGGGTAGGTCTTCTGCTGCTCATTCCGTCTCTATTTCAGCTTTGTGGCCACATTTGTCTTCCCTAAATTCTCCTACGATTTGTATTTCAGATAACAGCGAATGGGAGTTTCAGAAGTATGGTCACTAGAGCAGCATTTATGGTATCAAGATGAGACTCCCTATTTGTTGTTTATGGAACTTTGGAACAGGTAAGTTATTGTGATGTGAATTTTATTGTGGATTGTGTCAATACTAGTGCATTTTCAAGGATTCCATCGTATTCTTACTATTTAATATTGTGATTTTTTTTAAATAATAAACATATATTTAGTAGTATAATAACAAGGGAAGTCTATGATAGTGATCAACATGTCGATTTGTTGTATGCCATATGCCATATGTATTGGGTACTTACAAACTTTTCCTCGCTGCACCTAATCACATATGCGCATTATAGACTTATAAATAAACAGAAAGTACATAATATGTTAACATATTATATGTAATGCTAGTACATAATCAGGATAAGATTCATAATGCACATGGTTGACTCTAGTTCACAATATTATCATTCACACCCAACATAATTACCGCATGGGTGCTTGTACATTAATGGCATGTTCGATATAGAGGAATTGCAATTCCTTTTTCACATAGGTGTATTTGGAAATTAAGAAAATGACTTTTGAAAAATATTTTTTGGAAAATGAGTTCAGAAAACATTTTCATTTCCAAGTGTTTGGTTACATTTAAGAATATTGCCTTGGTGTGTTTGGTTCATTTTTCAAAAAATAATAAATTGTATAATTAAACCTTTTAATTGTTTCGTTTAGAATATAACAACATTTATAATAATAATAATATAATAATTTTAAATATAATAAAAAAACTTAATAAGATATCAAAATAACTAACCAAATCTTGCAATTCAAAATAACAAACCAAAATAATTGAAGTTTTACGATCGACAATTACAAACAAAGATTACTAAAAAGTCTTACAACCCAACATAACCAACTAAAAAGTCTTACAACCCAACATAACCAACTACAAAGTCATACATAATCTAACCTAAAGTCCTAAAGAATAAATAAAACACGCAATTCATTTCATCTTCAAGCTTGTATCTTTATCTTGATTTTTTTTTTTTTAAACTTATGTCATTAGAAATTTAAATGTTTTAATAAGTTCTACTCATGAAAGCCATCGCCTATTGCTATCACTTGTTGATACAACTCATTTTCGTGAATACCACCGGTACTCAATGATTTAATTGCTGCTGCAATGTTACCAATTATGAATCTTCAAGTCAATTGACTTTCTCTTAAAGTCGGATTTTTGAGACAAAGTAGTCGTTGATGCTCACTTTGGTCAAACAAGTTTTCATGATATATATCATCCACTTCATTAGTACCCTCTAAATCAACATCTACAAAAGACTTTGCAAACCTTCCTATTGCACAATCTCTACCAACAATAATAGATATCTCATCATAATACACAATTTTCCTCTCAAAAATTCAGTTGTAAGAGAAAGTCAATAGACTTGAATGTTGATGAAAGGCAGAACAACATGGTAACATTGTAGCAGTAATTAAGTCATTGAGTACAGGTGCTATTGATGAAAATGAATTGTATCAACAAGTGAAGACAATAGGTAATGACTTTCATGATGAGGACTTATGTAAAACATTGAAATTTCTAATGACAAATGAAGTTCAAGCAAGAATTTTCAAGGTGAAGAGTACAAGCTTGAAGAGAAAATGGATTGAGAGTTTTATTTCTTCTTTGGATTAGATTATGTATGATTTTTTAGTTGGTTGTGTTGGATTGCAAGACTTTAGTTTGGATTATAAGACTTTTTAGTGATCTTTATTCGTAATTGTAGATTGTAAAATTTTGGTTATTTTGGTTTGTTAAATAATAAATCTGAAACTAAAACGTGTGAAATGGAAATTGTAGTCGCTGCAATTCATAGAATGCCCGAATTCCCACTTTATGCCATATTTGAACCCAACAATACCACAAAGTTTAGCAATCCTTTTCACACAAAAGTATGATTTTAACACTATTCGTCTCGTGTCAACAAATGCCTTCTGCGAAAAGGCTGAATTATAGCCGTTACAAATTCACCAACTTCTTGACATTTGCATATACATTTCATGACCCAAAAAGCAAAGGAAAAAAAAAAAAAAAAAAAAAAAAAGGTACCTACCCACACTAGCTTTGGCATTCAAATGTGTATTCAATATTGAAATAACGAATGGTCCCGAGACATGACTCAAATGATCAACTAATTCAAAATAAATTGAGGAGTTTTGGTTTGATGGCTGCCATTACATTACCGTTTAGTGAGTGAAATAAATGCTTGTGGTATGGTCTACTAATGAATGCATAAATGGAGAGAAACAAGTCAAACGCCCCTATTGAGTGTATGATTATGGGCAAAAGGTCCATAGAGTTGATGTGATCACCAACTAAAAGGTAAGTGTTATAAATGAGAGATTCATTCACATTTGCTCATCAATTCATATGAATTACGTCAATCATTCATAATTACCATTTATTTGACTTCAATAAGATTACTTCTTCTTTTTTTTTTTTTTTTTTTTTTTTTTTTTTTTTTTAAACAACTTCAATAAGATTACTAAAATCCAGGAAATAGAATCAAGTCAAATCATCCATTTCATTATAAAGTTGAGGAGCAAAATGCAAAAATTTGTAATTGTGTGCGAACGCGGATTAAATGTGTGCAAATGCGATTGATCTAGATTGGTTTAGGTGACATTGTGAGATCAAATCTTGTGCATCAATCTAGCGATTACATGTGTGCGAACGCGATTGATCTAGACCATTAAATAATATTAGATGGATGCACACGATTTATTCTCACGTTTTCACGATATATATATATATATATATATATATATATATATATATATATTCAAATGTAACACAATAATCATTAACAAGGCGTTTGGTTGGAATGGGGGAATTAAGGGAAAAATGAAGGGTAATTCGGTGGGAAAAGAATAAAGTGAGAATTTAAATTACATTGTTGGGTAAAAAGGAATAGGATGCTGAGGAATTGAGAAGGAAGAAGTGAATAAATACTAAAATTCCCTTATATAATATTAATATAATAATGATAATGAGGGTAAAGTGGTAATTTACAATGAAATTGCAATTCCATAGAATTGTAATTCTCTCCAACCAAACCATGGAATTGTAATTCCATGGAATTTGGTAGGAATGGAATTTTCATCCTACCAAATACCCCATAAATACTCCACATGTCCTATTTTACATGTCTTGTTCACTATTCATGGACAACCAACTCTTTCTTCATAGTTTATTTTCTTTAGTAATTTTAATTATTTTTAAATTTGATTTTTTGTGTTTAGTAGTACATTTAATGTAGTTTCTAAATATATAAATTTTATATACTAATAATAATCTTAATATTATGAAAAATTGAATTAAAAATAACTTCATAGTGAAGCTTCATTAATCAAACTAGATAAACAAAATGGGATCGATAGAGTAATAATTAATAAAAGGGGCGAACATTACAAGAAATTATATATTTGTGGATGAAAATTTTACTTACACAGTAAAAAAGTCACGAAATGAGAACATCATCATTAACAATGTGATGTTTAGCGAAGAAATTGTATGAATTTGTTGGAAAGTTAGTAATATAAGTTGAGGTTCAAAGGGAGAGTGTGTCTAACAAGCACCAAAAGCCAACACCTTTGTGTGGCCCTATATATTTAAAGCCAGGTAGATAGACCATAACAATAAGACAGCTAGCTTGGATTGGAGTTGTACCTTTCGCATTAACACTTGTGACCATTGGCCTCTTCATGCCCTTAACCTTAGGACAAGGACAAATGCAATAATAAGGGCAACCAGCCAAGTCGGTCAGACAACGAGAACTATTTAATAATTTTCTTGATTTGATTTGTTCAGTAATGAATAATCTAGGCTGATTTATTTTATTATTTCTCTTTGTCAACTATGACCACATGATATACTTTCAAATGATAATTTGAGATTTTTTTGTAAATTAAAGTACAAACGCAATAAAAGATTAGTTTAGTAATCGCAAGATTCAAACTTTCAAGTTTAACTACTCGTGACAGTTGTCTATTGACCGACAACCTTTTAAGTACTTTTAAAAGGTACAACAAAACACACAATCCAAACGTAGACCTAAAATTTCAAATTTGTTAATCTCAATGATTCTAAAACATCTTGCAAGAGAAAATGTACTCAATCCATTCTATTTTATGTGTCTGTTTCAATTAACAAGGTTTAATTGAAGTTATTTACAATTTAATTTTTTAAAATATAAAGTTTAAAATTAATATATAAAATTTATATATTTAGAAACTACACTAAAAGTACTATTAAATACGTAAAATTAAATTTAAAAATTATAGGAAAATAACAATAAAAATAATCAAAGGATAAAAAATTAATTTGACCAATGAATAATAAGTAAAACAGATAAAATGGAACAGAGAGAGTAATATTTGTTACTCATTACACATTCAATTTAAACTTCAATAATCAATACTCAAACTTGATCAATTTTAGATTTAATAATTAAAAGTGTGAAAAAGAACATATTACAATCAATGGGTCAATATTGAAGTTTAACTCAATAATGAATGCATAAATTAGGGGGAAAAAATAAAAAGGGATTAAATAAACAATAAAATAATGAAAATCAAAAGATTACATCCACTACTAGAGTGTTAAAGTAGCACTAGCCCCCACTAACACAAGAACTACCCAGATTCTAGTGGCATTTCAAGTAAAAACCAACAAAATCCAACCCTCTCCCTCCATAGCTTATAAACCTCGTTACTTGTCTCCCTCTTTCAATATCCTATCCTCTTCAGCTCAGCAATGGCGTCCGTACTTTGCTTCACTGCCATTTCTGTCCTCCTCCTTTTCCACCCGTCCCCGACAGCCGCCGCGACCCGGAAGACCTACATCGTACACATGAAACACAGCGACAAGCCGTCTTCTTTCGAGACTCACCGGGATTGGTACTCTGCTCGTCTTCAATCCGTTTCTGCTGATTCCGCCTCGCTTCTGTACAGTTATAGTACGGCCTACCATGGCTTCGCCGCCGCATTGGATGCTGAGGAGGCGGCGGCGCTCCGTCGGGATGACGGCGTTGTTGGGGTGTACGAGGATACGGTGTACAGTCTGCATACGACGCGTACGCCGGAGTTTCTCGGGTTGGATGCCGGGTTCGGGAACCGGGTCGACCATAACATGCAGGTTTTGAACCGGGCGGCTCAGGACGTCGTCATTGGGGTTCTGGACACCGGGGTTTGGCCGGAATCGAAGAGTTTTAGCGACGTCGGGATCCCCGCCGTGCCGTCGAGGTGGCGCGGGAAGTGCGAGTCCGGCCCGGATTTCGACCCGAAAGTGCACTGTAATAAGAAGCTGATCGGAGCTCGGTTTTTTTCCAGAGGGTTTAAGACGGCCACCGGAATGGTGTGGTCAGGGGAGTCAGAATCGCCACGCGATAACGAGGGCCACGGGACCCACACTGCCAGCACCGCAGCGGGGTCTCACGTGACGAACGCGAGCCTTTTCGGTTACGCCGCGGGGGTGGCACGTGGCATGGCAACTCACGCGCGCGTCGCCACCTATAAGGTCTGTTGGAGATCCGGCTGCTTCGGCTCCGACATTCTCGCCGGAATTGAACAGGCGATCCTCGACGGCGTCAATGTCATCTCCATGTCTCTCGGCGGCGGCTCCGTCCCCTACTACCGCGACACAATCGCAATCGGAGCGTTCTCCGCTATGGAGAGAGGAATCTTCGTTTCGTGTTCCGCCGGGAACAGCGGCCCGATTAGATCTTCCGTCGCTAATGTCGCTCCCTGGATCATGACCGTCGGCGCCGGAACAATCGATCGCGATTTCCCGGCGTACGCTACATTAGGCTCCGGAAAACGATTCACCGGAGTATCATTATACAGTGGGAGAGGATTAGGGAAACAGCCAATCGGACTGGTATACACTTCCGGCACCGATAATTCCGGCAATCTCTGCCTCCGCGGCTCGCTCGATCCGAAATTGGTGAAAGGAAAAGTAGTTTTGTGCGATCGAGGCTCAAACGCTAGGGTTGAGAAGGGTTTGGTAGTGAAGGAAGCCGGCGGGGTGGGGATGATAATCGCCAACACGGAGGCGAGCGGGGAGGAGCTCGTGGCGGACAGCCACACATTGCCGACGGTGGCGGTGGGGATGAAAATGGGAGACGCGATAAGGGAGTACGCAAAGACAGCGAAGAACCCCACGGCGGTGCTCAGCTTCGGCGGGACGGTGGTGAACGTAAAGCCGTCGCCGGTAATAGCGGCGTTCAGTTCAAGAGGGCCCAATACGGTGACCCCACAGATTCTAAAGCCCGACGTGATTGGGCCGGGAGTGAATATCTTGGCTTCTTGGTCCATGGCTACGGGCCCCACCGGGCTTCAGGAGGACACTAGGAGAACTCCATTCAATATCCTCTCTGGTAAGCATTTCCTAACGGTTACTTTTCCATTATTTTTTTCCTCCAAAAAGAATTTTTCTTCAATTATTTTTGCCCATAAATGGATAATAATTTATTAACCATTGGATCTATAAAGTGATTTTAGTGATCTTATTAGGTGCAAAGCATACCATTATAGTGACCACAAACTCATTACTTCATATAGAATATTGAAGGCCACATCACAATTCCTCACTTTCTAGTATTTCAAAATGAGTGTAAACCTTTATACTGATAACTTTTGTCCAATTAGACATATCATACCTGGTTGTATTCGATACAAAAGGCACAAGTTTCAATTGATATACTTATAATTTCTTGTTCGGGTTTAAGCATTATAAATTGAGTAACGGTGTTAAGAGAGCTTCGGGAACACTTATGTTTTTTTAGATTTTATGAGAATAATAATTTTCTTGAGGGATATTTCTGACACTGGGCATGCAGATCATTATTGTGTGGTCATGATTCACACAACTGTGTGGATCGCATTATCGTACATTTAATACATAAATAATGTACTTTTAATATATTAAAAATGTATTTTTTTTTTTAATGATACACACAATAATTTGCCGTGGACATACATATCCATCCTCTCAGACATAACATTAACAATGTTGTCATTTTCTGAGCCCATATGTATTTCGGACCAATCATTATACTATGTAGCATGGTCTACTTTCTTTAACATAAATTATTAGTATAAAATTCATTTTTGATATATTAAATATTTATTTTTAATGTATTGAATGTACATTTTTTAAATTTCCACGCCTATTTTCTAACAATCATTATCTTCTGGACTATTGTCATGAGATTTATTTTTTAGTACATTTGATTGTTCATTTTTTAAAAATTCATATTTAGTCTGTTGAAAATTTATTATTTAGTATATTATTTATAAATGAACATTTAGTGCATTAATAATGAATCTTTAGTATATTAACAATGAATATTTATTAGTGGTCTCCATGGTTAAATTGCATATTTCGGACATAACTCATACGGAGTAATACATTAAAAAAACATGTTTTGTTTGTAGGAACATCGATGTCGTGTCCCCATATAAGTGGGCTCGCAGCTTTGCTCAAAGCGGCCCATCCAAAATGGAGCCCAAGTGCGATCAAGTCAGCCCTCATGACAACAGCCTACACTCTAGATAGCACTAATTCTACTTTACGGGACGCCGAGGGCGGTCTGGGTTCCAGCCCATGGGCCTACGGGTCAGGCCACGTGGACCCGCACAAGGCCCTAAACCCGGGCCTGGTCTACGACATCTCCATAACCCAATACATAATGTTCCTCTGCTCCCTGGACTACGACACCGACAACATCCGAGCCATCGTGAAACGACCGAACGTGACGTGTCACAAGACGTTCAGGGACCCGGGCCAGCTCAACTACCCGTCGTTCTCGGTCGTGTTCGGAGGGGGGTCGAGAGTTGCGCGGTACACGCGCGTGCTCACCAACGTGGGGGCGGCGGGGTCGGCGTACGAGGTGGCGGTGGAGGTGCCGCCGCAGGTTACGGCGACGGTGAAGCCGACGAGGTTGGAGTTCAAGAATGTGGGGGATAGGTTGAGGTACACGGTTACTTTTGTGGCTAAGAAGGGTGTTAAGGCTAAGAATGCGTTTGGTTCCATTTCTTGGAATAGTGGTGAGAATCGGGTGAAGAGTCCGGTTGCTTTCTCTTGGACAGATATATATTAGGGTAGCGGTTTGGATTGTGTTGGGTAATTGGGCCTTTGATCTTGTAAGAATGCAGGCTTGATTGCAATGTGTGTGTGTGTTTTTAATGTATTTGGGAAAATAGATGAATGCTAAAATTCTTGTTTTGTTCTTGTGTACAAGTGAAGAGATGAGATTGATTCAAATGTCAACAACTTTTTCTTCTCCTGGGAATATGCCAATTTAGGAAAAACTACTGAAATCTAGACATAACAACACTTTCAACATAAACCAAGAGCGTGTTTGTTAGTCACGAAAGTTGTAATTTTCTTGGGAATTTAAAAGATGGGAAAATTATTCTTATTTTCAGTATAATATTTGACTTAAATCCTTTTTGATAAAATGCCTAGTCTATAGGCCAATTTTAATTTTTTTGACCACTATTAGATGTTAAATTTGGTTAAAAAATTATTATAATGTTTGGTTAATTAGCTGTTTGTATTCTACGACACTTCAACAATTTGGTTGACGAGGAACTAAAAATGATCATGCCAATACTAGTACTAAATGAAATTGTTCTGATAAAAAAAGACTAAAATAGATTGTCATCTATAAATCTAGAATAAAAAATGAAATTAACTTTATTCCATAATAGAAGGTAAAATAAATCCCACCTAACGAGAGTGAGATTCTTTTTCCTCACTTACTCTTAGGGCTCGTTTGGTTCGCTGGAAAATATTTGAAGGGAAATGGAATTTAAATTCCATGGAAAATAAATTCCAAGAAAATAGATTCCATTGTTTGGTTGGTGGAAAAGAAATTACTGGGAATATGAATTCCATTGTTTGGTTGAGTTTGGAATGGTAAGGAATGATGTGTATAATGACAAATATAATCCTACACAACAATAATAATAATATAATAATAAGAGTAATTAATAAAGAATGGTGAGGGTAAAATTGACATATTAGTTTTCCATGGAAAACAAAATACCTAAAAAAAGCTAGGAATTTGTTTTCCTTATACTCAAGGAAAACTTTTTCCAATGGAAAATGTTTTCCATCCAACCAAACAACATAAAACATCATTTTCCTTCACTTTTAGGAAAACATTTTCCATGGAAAATGTTTTCCAACCAACCAAACACCCCCTTAGTAACAATTTTCCAACTTTATTCAATTACATATTTATTCTTTTTTGTTGTCATAATGCCATGTTAAAAATCTCTTATAAATATATGAAATTTGACTCTCCCACCATTACACATTCTTTATCAAAATATTCAAATACATAGTTAAAATTTTCATTTTTTCATATGTAATTTGATTAGATCTGTAGTACTGCATATATTATATTTGTGCGTGCCTTATTGGTACATATATTCGTATGTATATTTATACAATACCGCTAGGCGCTAGTCGAGTGCTAAAAGGCTGCCTAGTGTCTAGGCGCAAGACCAAAAACAAAAACCAAGGTTATGTGTGTGTATTGTATATTTGTGTGTGCGCGCGCGAGTATATATATATATATATATATATATATATATATATATATATATATATATATATATAGAGAGAGAGAGAGAGAGAGAGAGAGGGGTTCATTTGCGGTTGGTGCGCCCAGGTGCGATTGTGCAGTTAAATTTGAGTCATTGATCTTGCTTAAATCAACGTCAGGATTACCAAAATTAAAAAAAAACACGGTGACAGTTGTAATTTTTTCATGTATGTCAAATTTAAGGTGTGTGGTTGTTGTGCTTAAGATGCGTGAGTTTTGTACTTAATGTGCGTGGGTTTTGTGTTTAAGGTGCGTGAATTGTGTGCTTAATGTGAGTAGTTGTTGAAACTTAATGTGCGTGAGTTTTGTGCATAAGGTGGTGCGTGTGTTTTGTGCTTAATGTGAGTAGTTGTTGAAATTTAAGGTGCGTGGTTTTTCTTCTTAATGTGCGTTATTTTCCTTCTTAAGGTACGTGATTTATATGCTTAAGGTGCGTCAGTTGTGTGAAACTTAAGGCGAGTCATTTTAAAACCTTAGGTGCATGATTTGTGTTCTTAAGAAGCTTTGTTGTTTGCTTAAGGTGCGTGGTTTGTGTACTTAAGGTAAGTGATTTGTGTTCTTAAAGTGCTTTATTTGTGTGCTTAAGGTGCATGGTTTGTATATTTAAGGTGTGTCATTTTAATGCTTAAGATGTGTGAACCGCACGAGAAGTCTATACTCACACCTGAACCCTTCCATATATATATATATATATATATATATATATATATATATATATATATATATATATGCGACATTTTTGCCCTTAAGCATCAGCCGGCTGACTAGGCGTCAAATTGAGTGAGTGATTATTATTTTTAAATTTTATTTATTTATTTATTTGCAATTTTAAAGCCATGTATAATAATCACTCACTCAATTTGACGCCGAGTCAGCCGGCTGATGCTTAAGGGCAAAAATGTCGCATATATATATATATATATATATATATATATATATATATAAACATGTTAAAAGTGTCTATATATAAAAGGTATGTGTAGTATATAGCAAGGATATATTTTACATTTTTTAAAAGTGTCATGTGAAAGTTTAAAGTTTAAACGAATTAAACATGTTAATTAAATTCTCAGATAATTTAATTGTTATGCTTTGGAACATGTTAATTAGTTTTTCTTGTAAAATTATTCTTATAAAATATTTTCTTGAGAAATACTTCCCAATGAATTTAATTGATGGAAAAGTATCAAACTGCCTCCAATAGTAATAGGTAACCACAAAGTTTAGACTTCATACAAAATTGGTCAGCCAATTGGATTGATGACTTTACGAATTTGAGTCTATCATATATTAAGTTATTAACAACTTCTCTATGGGAGCTGCTTATTCGTTTTCTCAGTTTGAAATGATCAATTATAGCCAACTTATGTTGGTTTTAGTTAACTTCATTGTGGTCTTTCGTCAACTAGATTCGGAAGATGAGTTTTCTCGTAGAGGTTTGAGTCACTCAATGGACAACTGAAATTGATTTATCTCATTGTAGTCGGAGTCATAAAATAATAAACTCCACTCAAAGTGCATAATAATGGTATTTTCTCATAAATTAGAACTATAAACAACCTTAATTGGTTTACCTCTTTGAAATGTACAACAGCTCAAAGTAATTTATAAAACTAAATAACAATAGTCTCATTCAATTTGTGTAGAAGTTAACTTTGAGAGACAGCTCTAAATGTTGTAAATTTAGACAGACAATCAATAAGAAGTTGTCATTCAATTGGGTAGAGAGTTAACTTTCTTATGTGAGACTAGGATATAATGCAACACTAACAAAGGTGTTACAATAAAATGTTGTGAATATCAAAAGGCTAACTTGAATATACCTTTGTTTATATTGATATACAAAGCAACATAAGAAGAAAAAGAAAAAAACTTGCTTTCAAACAATAATTGATTTAACAGTCAAAATCTCTAAACAATACAGAGTAATAATAATGGATATGTAACAATGTGGAAATTATTTGGAACCATATACTAAAAACACAAGTAGCAAGGATTGCAGCAGCAGCAACAACAGGTTTTTGTACAGCCAGAGCAATTCATCTTTGGACATCTCGGAACACCGCAGCATCTACACTTGTTGCCCGAACATTTAAAACACGAGGGGCACTTCGGGGTGCAACTGCAATCGCAGGTGCACGAGCACGAGCACTTCTTCTTCGCGCAGCACTGGGATTCGGGGCACGAGCAGCAACACAGCCGAGGCGGCTTGGGTAACGAGCACCTGAAGCACGACAGCGAGGGGGTACATTTGAAGCACGACGACGATGGGCAGCTGAAGCATGATTTCGGGCAGCTGAAGCATGATTTCGGGCAGCAAACGCACGACGTTGGGCAGCAGGATTTTGGACAGGCGAGGCAGGAGCACGACGGTTTGCAGCTGAGGCAAGAGCACGACGGCTTGCAGCTGCAGCTCGGGCAGGACGGGGAACAGCTCGGGCAGGATGGCGTGCAGCAGACGCAGGACGGGCATCCGTTGCAGCACCCGCTGCACCCACCGCACGGATTACAGTTGCAGCAATGCGACGGCTTCTTGACACGGGGACACCGGCAACAACAAATCCATGACGTGCTGAAACACGACACCCCACTGCAGGTGAAAAACAAAAAAACGAACTTTTAATCAAAGCAAACTAGAACTATGAATAAATCCCGAAGCCTCTTACGAAATTTCCTCGTTCAAGGCTATATAGAATCTACAATAATAGAGAATACAGACGCAACTGCAGTGAACTCAGACTTCTGGAAAACGGCATAACAAAAACTGCAATTACTTAGAGACCTGCAGATAATTTCTGCGACTGCTAATAAAACACACAGATAATCTGACATCCGGTACTTGCACAATCAATTCATAATGATAAATTATGGACTATAAAACAATTTATGCTCTCTTGACAAACTCGGAAGATTGCAGAACGATTCTAGTTCTAGTTATCTTTTTTACCGAAAAATAAATTCTGATCATAAAACAGACCATAGGGAAAGCATACCAGCAGAGCCATTTCCAGAAACGAGAAGATCTGCTCTTCTTCTTGATTCTGACACAGATTAAGAAAAAAAAAAAAAAAAAAACCATAACATTAGATTGCAATTAAACGGGGAAATCTTAGTTACATTTCGAAAAGTATTAGATAAAATAAACGAAGCTATCTTACGTTGGTATAAGAGGATCTGGGTTGGCCAAAACGAAATCGGTGACCCTGCAAGACGTCAACTTCAAAAGTTTTAGATAAGCAAACGGGACTACAAGATCATAACAAGCTTGCATTCCACATGGTTTAGCAGACATGTGGATCCCATACGGGATGGCAAATTAAAAGGTTTGAATTACATACTCTTTACATGATCGAGACGCAGGATGAAGGCGATCAACGAATTTCAATTCATCCTGCTCGCACCACAAACATACAAACGAGGTTAGGACAAAAGATAACAAACATAGAAAAACAAGAACTATAGATAGAACAAGACCAAAGTGTCTACCAAATACATTAGATTTCTATCATCCCAACACAACAAAAACAGCAGAAAAATGGTACCATAAGTCAACTTCATACAATTTCATCAACCCTGTCTGGTTTTTCCTTTCATGCAAACTAACATTAATTCTCACAACTTCTAAACAAGATAATCATAAGATCAAGCAAACAATCCTCAAGAACTTTGACAGTTGATATTCTCAAGAACTTTGTCACAGTTAATTCTCCAGGCAAACATGGGATTTAAGGAATCTGGGATACCTAGGCATCACGATTCAGATTAACAACCTAGAATCTTATGTAATACTGTACATAGGAAAAGGTTAAGATCAGAATTAAGATTCTATACACAAGAATCTGTTGTTTCAAGGAACTATCATACAAAAGAGGCAATGAAAAAGACAGCAAAATTTACCCAAACAGCAAACTTTTTTACTACTCAACACTTCACCCTGAAGAATTTCAAGATTCTGTAAAACCAGTCACTTTTGAACCCTCAACCCCAGAAAAGTTACTGTGCTGGTAAATTCCTCCAACACTACATTCAATTTTGGCAATTTCCCCAACCTCCATAACCCATTAAAAAAAAAAAAAAAAAAAAAAAAAACAGAGCTTTCCAAACCCCAACAATCAAGAAAGTGAAGAAAACTCACCTCAAGAAACCCAATCTCCCGCTCAAGCATCTGAACTCGAGCCAATTCGCGGCGCTTCCCGTACAAATCCGGGTACTGCGGCGGCGATTTCGGCCGCGGCGGCGGCAACGACGGCACCCTCCCACCGCCGCCGCCTCCTCCTCCTCCCGAGCCAGCCATTCCACCACCCCTCACACGATTCTTGGCCTATCCCTCCCCCCACTAACCATACAAAAAAAAGGGCAAAAAAAAATAAAAATCGAGTCTTTACTTAAAACAGTTCATACTATAATCCAAGACTCTCAACACTGGAACCAGTAATGTGCTACTCACAGCAAATATACAAACACATACATACATTGGAGTGGGGTAGGGGGCTAGGCAGGGTGGGTGGGTGGGTTAAAAATGTTATGTAGGGAAATGAAGAGGAAGATGGGGAAGGAAGAGAGACAGACGCAGAAGAAATTATTACTGGAGAGGGTGGGGGGGGGGGGGGGATAATTAGAGGGTCCAGAGAGAGAGCAGACTCCAAAAGTTATGTGAAATAACAACAATCAGAGCAGTGGTGACAGAACTCTCAGTATCTACTATGAATATGAAGAAAATTTAATGATTTTTTTTTTTTTAAATTTCCATTTTCTTTTTTTGGTGTCCCCATGCAACCCAACCCACTGTGAATCATTCAATTTTTTCTACCCACCATAGATTTCTTCAAAAAACCCACTGTTCCACAAATGTTCCTTTCATTTTTCCTCATTAAAAAAACCAAACCTTGCTAATCCTGGTAAACTCAAATTTGGAGAAATAACAGCTTCTGTTTTGATTCTTGGAATGGAAAGAGCAGTGTAGATGTGACTGTTAGAAATGTCTCATTAATTTTATTATTATTATTAAAGTCTTCAAATTTCTAAAAACCATCCATTTTCTCAGGGAGTTAAGTACTACACTACAGCAGTACCAGTGGTAGAAGCAAAATTTAATGAATCCTCATTTTTTTTTTTGAATGCGAATCCTCATTTAATTTAAGGTAAACTGTCAAAAACAAATTCCAAACAAACAGTGAAAATTAAAAGATTACAAAAACCCAGAATTAGTTTAGTTTTAATTTTTAAATGGTGTCTTATGCTGAAAAGAGGGTAATTATAGCCTATGATTCTTGGAAGAAATCTTCCCCATTTTCTAATGTGAAAATGTCATAATGTCCCAGAGGTGAAAAATAAAAAAAATAAATAAAAAAAAACTGTAAAAATAGGGGTGTGTAAATTACAATAAATAGGTGAAAAAAGTGGACTGAAAAGACAGTAATAATTGCTTCTGGAATGGAGGTGGGAAGGGTGGAGATACTGTAGTAGTGTGGTACTGGCAGTAGAAAAAGGGCGTATAATGGTGGTGAAAAAGGCTGCAAATAATGTTGGTTTTTTTTTGAAAGAAAAAGGAAAAAAAAAATAAATAAATAAAAATGAGAGGGTGTAAGAGTAGCCTCGATGGTGATGGAGGCTGTGCAGAAGTAGCAGAGAGTTGCAGAGGAAGGAGAGGCGAAAAGCTCGACGCAGTGGGCTCAGACCGCACGTGACTGTCGCGTAGGAAAGAGAGAGAGAATACGCAGTCCGCAGTTTAACTTGCCGCTTCCCTCTTCTACTCTTCAATTTACTCTTTTTTTTTTTTTTTTTGTTAAATACATGCTCCGTAATAAATAGTTGTTAGCTGATTAATTAATTTATTTAACTAGTTGATAACATTAGCTGATTGTATAAAAAAATTTAGTAAATTAATTGTTAGCTGATAGATGATTACATGCAAAATGAATTTCTTAAAAAGTTGATTGAAAAAATTATTTTAAACAATTTTTTGAATTTTAGTATTTTAAAACAATAAGTTGTTAGAAAAGTTAATTAATCAAATACTTATATTAATCGTTTAACAAAGTCAAACAACTAATAATGGTCAAACAAGTCAAAATTGACTGATAAAGTAACTATATTACCCATCAGGACCATTTATGTTTCTTAGCTTATGCTATATTAATTTTAAACTCCTAAAATCTCTGTTTAATAGTCACTAACGAGGTGAATATTACGTGTCCATTTTCATATTTCTGTCAAGTTCCACGCCCTCGTCGTTGTTTCTGTACACAAAGGATTCATCTCCATACATTCGCCAACTTGGAGTTCAATCTCACCTAAGAAGCTCAGTGGCCCAAACTCTAAGCTTTAGGATTCCTAACTCCAAGATGTAGTTGGTGAGAGTTGAACATCATCTTACCGCTAGAGTGTTGTTTTTACATCAGGTGATTTGCCACTTGAATTACCCCTGCGAAACAACTCATTAATTTTCTGCAAGAAAAAAAATTCGTAATTACTATTTGAGAATATTACTAATAAAAATTCAATTTATGATATTTAAATATGATTCACTATTTGACTACTCCTTTTAATTTTCATTTATACACTTAAATCACATACTCTGTATTTATTATATTCAATAATAATTTTTATTTCGGTATACAATGTGAAATGCTAGTATAATTTTCATGAAAGATCTTCTAAAATGTGATCTAGTGATACCAAGTTATTATCTTATATAGGAAGTTGTGCATTCGAGTCATAGACTCAACTAGTTATGAATAGATACTATAAGCGACGAATTGAAGGCGACTTCACAGTTACCTTATAAGCTCACATGCATGTATGAATGGCTAATGAATTTGTGAGATAATATTTTAGTCTTTGAAAAAAAAAAAAGTTATATCACAATAGTGAGTCACTTTCAGTTTTAATCAATTAGTAAGGATTTGTTAGTTATTTTTTAAAATATGAAATCAAATTTATAAAAATTGTTTACATTGTTGTTGTTGTTATTATACAATAATATAAATATCTAAAATATAAATTAAAAAAATTAAGTGTGAACCAATGTAATTATCATGATTTATGTATGTATTTCTATACATATTGAGTCATATACCATTAAAATTTTGTTTGTATATATTAAATGTTTCTATAATTATATTTAATTATTTATTATATCTAAATTTATTAATTATTTCATAATTATTACATAAATTGTCAACTGTACGTTTAATAATATAATATAAATTCGAAAATTATAACTTTTTTAGAAAAAGTTATATACTATTATTTTTGATAAAAATAATATAATAACATTTTAAAATCGATTATTAATATTAGACATTTATTTTTGTGGTCGTGCATATACAAAACCTAATGCTTTAATAAACAAGAATATATGGAGTTTTGTTTTCATTTTTTTTCCCTCATTTTTCATTCCGACATACATAATTGAATGGTGAGATAGAGGTTCGAATTCATAACCTTTAATATATGTTTGGCATTTCAAACCAAATTTAAGTATATATTTAATCTCAATTAAAAATCTCAATCGAAAATTGAACCGTACATTTACGTGTTATATACTATGCGCTCAATGCTAACTATTAAAAAAAAAAAAAGATAAATATTTACCAAAAAATGTAGCCAAACACCCCCCCTAAGATAACACATGAATTTCTGTCCATGTCTGGATTTTAGATTGAAAGCTTAAAAAAAAATAAAAGAAAAAAGAATAGTAGAAATGGAGGACAGACAAGTTTGAATTAAACCTGCGTTTTCTGATCAGATTGTCAAACACGCAGTACTGATGCCGATTTGGCAGCTACGCAGAACGGAATCCAATCCATTTTTAACATTTCTCAAAATATATTTACCTACTTTTGTATTATTTAATGTAATTTTACCTAATTATTTTTTAAATACTGTCTACGATATTTTGAGTAACCTAAAAATACGAAAAGTCCCCATGTCAGGTAGTAACTCCATACGTTTTTGAAAAAAATTATACAAATTTGTGTGTGTGTATGTATATAAAAAAATTGTTTTTGAGTACAGACATACAATTTTATATATAACAATAATAATAATAATAATAATAATAATAAAATTCTCATTGAATTATTCATGTATCCATATTAATTTTATCAATTATTTTAGGAATAAAGGTCAAATAAGTCACTGAACTGCCCACAAGAATGCAATTAGGCCACTGAACCTAAAAAACTTACAATTGGGTCCATAAACTAACCAATTTCATTCAATTTGTCCATTTTTCAGGTTTCTCAAGTTGCTAAAAGGTTAACCCTCCACCTAGAATGCATATGTGGCATTTAAAAAAATTTATTTTTAAATTAGTTTTTTTTAAACCTTAAATTAATTTTTTAATGTTTAATAAATAAAAACTAAAATAATTTATTTTAAATTAATTTTTTTTAATTTTTAATAAATAAAAACTAAAATAATTTGTTTTTTTTAAATAAAATCCAAACCCTGTACGATGTCGTAACAAATTATTTTATTTTCAAAAAAAAATTATTTTAGTTTTTATTTATTAAACATTAAAAAAACTAATTTAAAAATAAATTATTTTAGTTTTATTTATTAAATATTTAAAAAACTAATTTAAAAATAAATTATTTTTTAAAAAATACCACATATGCATCCTAGGTGGAGGGATAACTTGTTAGCAACTTGAAAAACTTGAAAAATAGACAAATTGAATGAAATTGGTTAGTTTAGGGACTCAATTGTAGATTTTTTAAGTTCAGTGGTCTAATTGCATTCTCGTGTGCAGTTTAATGGCCTATTTGACCATTATTCCATTATTTTAAAAGTGTCTCCTACAGTTAATGTATGCTCAGAACACCTAATGACAGACAAAAAGTAGTTATTTTTACCTTTTATGCCAAACGGTCATTTTTATTCTTAAAAATGACTATTTCATTTATTTTTATTATCCATCCAATTATTGCTTATTGTATGAGTGACATGGTTCGGTTAAAAAAAGAATGGAGCAACCAAATTGAATTTGAAATCGTAGGGATGCTTCCGGTTATAGTTCATAATTGGAACCTAAAAAGGTTGCGGGTTCAGTTTATTAAAATTGGGAACCCAGAAAAAAGTATAATACAAGAGTTAACTCTTTATTTTGGACTATTTGAAAAATAGAATATAGAAGAAAAAAAAATTAAATCGTCGATTCAAATCGGAACTATCGATTTCGGTTTTTCATTTCCCTTAACTATGAACTGGAATAGAATCACATCGATATCTACTTATATATTATGAATTATTCTTCCAAAAGGCTGAACCCCTAACCCTAAGGGCCCTCCACACCCCGACCCGACAGAGCATTTGGGAGGATGTAAATCATGGTAACTCAACTGAACATGAATCACAGAGGCTAGACCGTGCTCACTGCGCACAAGGAACCCCTCACTTTCAGTAATTCATATATTAGGAATTATAATAAATGTGATAAAAAGTAAACATCATTTGTAAATATTTTAATTATTATAATTTTAAATCAATGTTTGTAACATTAATACTATAATTATAACTAATTAGTATTATTAAATTATTGTGTTTAATTCTTACTTTTGTTACTAGCATTATCTTAAATTATACTTATAATATTTTTAAATGGTGTATGTTATTTTTTCATATTTAAATTAATTGAGGGGGCTAACATGGATATATAAATAATTCAAGAGAAAAAATGCATTATAAGCATATATTTCAGGGAGAAAAAACACAATTTTCCCTAATCAAATTTGTAGCTTCGAAATGAGTAATCGAGTGTGTGGAACATGATTCTAGAAGTTTTTTTGCTTAACATTTTGTCCCATGTTTGGGTTGGGAGAAGGCGACCCTAGTGGTAACCTTCTCTATGGAGATTCGGAGAAGGTGACCTTGGTGTCTTCTCCGTGACCGGCAATTGTTTGCAAGTCACTTTTTTTGCCTGAAATTTTTTCGGAGCGTGGCCAAAAGTCTAATGACCTATGATAGCATATCATTAACCGGTTTTTGGACTTCATTGCATCAAAATAAATTATTGATGAGTGTA